TTTTGTATTAATTTTGTACAACAAAATGTGGAAATATTAAAATATTATTGCTCTTGACTTTTGTCCTCTTTAACATCTTATTTACCTGCCTGAGATAGACCTTCCCCTAGCTAACAATCATCTGGCTGGTTTGCTTTAAATAATGACTAGCTCTGCTTTTCCCAATGATGGAGGACTCAGGGGAAATACTTACTGAGATCACTGTTTTGGGTAGGGTGAGAAAAAGAGATACAGATACAAGGAGCTGAAGAGTAGAATACAAGGTGTTCCACATTATTTCTTTTCTACTCACCTACACTTCTACCATTAATTATTACTTATATTACAGTGCCACCATAGTATAATGGAGATAGGGTCCTATTTGACTGACTGAGTTAACTATCATGGTCCCTCTCAGGTGCCATAGAGCTTATAATCTGAATGGGCAAACCAGAACAATCAGTGGGAGAGAAGTAGTGCTAATCTTTCTGTTCTACTGACAGAGAATTGAAGTACTGAAAGATTAAGAGCATGTCTTCACCCTGGCAGCAGGATGGGTCTCAGCTGAGATAGTCCTCAGCTGGGATAGTTCTAAGCACACCCTATGCCATGCCCCTCCTCCTTGCTTGCTTCAGATCTGGAAACATGTTGGTGAGCTTGCTCTGGGTCTTCCCTTTGTGACCATTCTTGACACCTCAACCTATACTGTGCTTGAGAGTGGCCACTAGGAATGATGCTAGAGCAGGCTCACCAACATATTTCCAGGTTTGGAGCAGGCCAGTAGGAGCAGGTAAGTAAGGCTTGGTTGGAAACATCCTACTTACCTTAATTGAGTTGCTCAATATCAGCCAGGAGGTCTATGGTAGAGGCAAAAACTGAGTGGAAAGTCCAGTGCATTCATCTCAAACCCTTCCACTCTACTCTTACTGTCTTCTATTCCTTCTAAATGATCAACATATGTTTCTTTTTCATTATTTTAACTCACTGCTATTTCTTCTCTTAATTTGTTCAACAAGTAACTTCTGTCTTTTCAAGCTCCTCATTATAATTACTTTTCAAAGACTTGAAGTGAAACTCTTAATTATCCAGACCTGCTTTGGTCACTATGTCCTCTGCCTCTTTTGAACTAAGGCAGTTATTCCTCTGGTATCATTGTCCTTTCTACACCATTTTCAAGGGAAGTGCTAGATTTTGAGTCCTTGTTTATAAGGTCTTGGATTCTGCTCAAAATCTGCAGGACGTCACGGAGGAACAAAAGGCTACTTATGCCCTGTTTGCCTTGCCACCCCTCAAGGAACTAGGCATGCTCTGACCAGGCTACTTAAATAACTCAGAGATTGTAGTTTCCAGTTATGTTCAGTAACTTTTTGCTAAGCCTCTTGCTAACTGAATAATGTCTTCTAATTCAAACCTCTAAGATCAGCATCCCTAAGAGCTGCAAAGAAACTGAATATATTTTGGAATTTATGAGCAACAATACATTCAGAACCTGGCCTAAGAATCTCTATTTTAAATGGTTGTCTTCAGTCAATTCTTTTCATAAGTTTTCTCTGCAATAAACAGTAGAGCATTACTCAGAATATATTCCCTGGTCTTCACAACTGCCATATCAGTACATAATGAATTATGATTTCACAGAAAGAGTTATTAGCTTTGTTTTTTCAGAACTTCACCTCTTACTGAACTCACTACAATTCAGGCTAGTTAGGCCATACAAGTCAAGCTGCCATCACATCACTTAAAACAATCAAACTTAGTTGCCCCTCTGCCAAATCCACCCAGCAGTTTCCATTTATACAGGTGCCAAACAGTCTGCAAATATAATCAAAGTATCTTATTTTTGTTTGAAGTGGTGAAACATCCTTAGATTATCAATAACTGAATGATTGAATGACACTTAACACATGATGGAACATTAATACTATGTATTTGCACGTTGTCATGGAAAGATACTACAACAGACTGCAGTTACTTTCTGTATACTTTTGAAGGTATGCATTAACATTGACACATTTCATGCATTCCTATACACCAATTGCATGTTTTTCTCCTTGGATTAACATATGTTGATGAAGTCAATGTCACTGGCACTGCTACTAATGTCAGACACAGGTGTTACTGGCAATAGGTATCTATCCAAGATCCGTATACAAATCTCATTACCATAGCACCAAGCATTCTGTAATGCATTAATCCTCAAAACATGTGTGTAAGGTAGGCAGATGGGCAACTGTGATACAGAGAAACTAAGAGTCAAATGAACAAATTGACTTAGGTTCTTAAACACAAAATTTAGATCCTTAAAAAGTTATGGACTGACAAAGGATCTTAGGCTCTTAAATGCAAAATTTAGATCCTTAAAACTCTCCTCTCAGCTGACTCTTTTTGGAAATATCTAGTTGCTAGGTACCTACGTTTCTGCTGTGTAGGTCATAGCTGGGTTGATCTAAGGTTCTTTGGGTGAATCCATTATCTTTTATTTGACCAACTAGTTGGTCTAATAAAAGATTTACCAAGGTTCTTTGGGTAAATCTTTTATTAGACCAACTAGTTGGTCAAATAAAAGATATTGGATTCACCCAAAGAACCTTGTTTACCTAAATTTCTGCTGGCACCCACGTTTCTTCTGCTGGACATTCACACAAGTCTTGACAGCACCAAGCAGTTCAATACCTACCCTCTGGCAGAATTCATAAATAGTCTTAGGTTATGGATTGACAACTTTTTTTATAGTGTTAAAGGGTAGGATGCCTTCTCTAACATCAGCTGGAAGACAGCAATCTAACTTGAATCGATAGAGAAACAGTACAGAAGTTTGATGCCTCAGTCTAACCTAAACCAATTTGAATTGGAGGTATTGCACACCAGGTCTATCTTAAACAGCTTGAGTTATTTTTGGACCAGTCTGTGTGCACCAAATTCTGTACAGTTATGGGTTTACGTCAATTTATGTTCACTTAGATCAGTCTAAGCATAATGTCTGTATGTGCCCTAGATGTGCAAGAGGTTAGGTATTACTCCTAACTTGCTAGAATTATTACACTTTATAACCTGATCTCTCTAGCATAAACATTTCCTTTCTATCCTGTGTGGTACCTCTGGGGGTGATCAGCCACCCTGGTACCTGGCCCTCCACCATGGTTTGAACCATCAGCTCTTTCCCAGTCTCACCTATCATGACTTCAATGTTATTTTGTTTGTTGTGGCGTGGAGGCTGTCCCTAGATATTGGGGTAACTTTGCTGATTGTCTTGCCTGCCCAACTAGGCTGGCACCCCACCTGGGGCCTTTGCTCTCCCTAGAGTGCTTATCTTTAAGGGAGTGCTCCTGCAGACTTCTCACCACCTCTTGGGGCTTCAGCTGTTACAGCCTTGGCCCCCTTTTTCTCTGGACAATTTTGGTCCACTGTCTAAAAACTCAGCTCCTGGGTCATCTACCCTGCCTTGGTGGCAGTCCCTCCTGGGATTCAAGTTTCATTCTGCCAGTCTCAGCCCCTCTGGCTCAGGACTAGCTTTGGGCACCTATGGAAAGGGAATACCACCCACACCCCAACTCATGGCTTCCTCTGTCCCTGTAGCCACAACCAGGTCCTCCCGTCTAAAGTTCAAAATGAAACATAAACACAAGCTAGATGCTTCAAAAAACAAATATTCTCTCTCCCTCAAGGCAAATGTTGCTTGCAGGCCCTACCTCCCTTGAAACCATCTCACTCCAGCTCCTATGGGTGGTTGGTCAGTCGGTTGGTCTGTCCATCTCCAGCAGACCCTCTCTCCTGGGTGCTCCTTTCCCTGCTGCATACAAGGAACATCCCATGCATGGTCAGTGACTGGATTTATATCCCCAAGCCTAGCCTTCTTCCAGCCATGTGACTGAATTTTCTGTACCCAGAGACCTGGTGCAGCTAATTGTCTCATTAGCTGCCTGATTTTTAGTCCTTGGCTCACGCCACCTAAGCTGCTACTCCCTGCTTCCTTCCTGGCCTTTGGTTTCCTAGTCTTTGGGCATATCTACACATGATTTTAAGTGGGCTTAAATTTAATGTGCATTAAACTAATGCAGATTAAGTGGATTTTGGCAGGTGTCTACATGTGGTGGGACTTGAGACTAACTCCAGGTCAGTCCAGATCTGCCACGTGCTCCTTTGGCCCCTGGGGGGAGCTCCACCCCCTGGACACATGGCTTCCAGCACTTGGAAGCCATGCTAAAGCCACAGCCAGCTGCCAGTACTTGGCAGCCATCTTAAAAGCACACTCTCCACACTGCGACCTCTGGGCTGATGCTTCCTGTCTCACAACAGCAGTGTGGCACAGACAGAGGAAGCATGTGCCTGCTGTGCCCATGCTGCAGCTGAACTTCCCAGCCCTGCCTGCCCCAGCTCCTGGCTATGGCACCTAGGGACAGGATCCCCCACTCCTCAGGGCTGCTGTCCTGTTCACCGGCTGCTATTCTGCATGCCTGGCAATGGGCCACCTGGCACCACCTGAGTCCCCCACCCACTCTGCCCACCTGCTGGACTACTGGTACATGGTCTCTGGGGCCCCACCATCATGCATCATCCTATTGCCATACATGGTGGCCACAGCCTCCAGGATGCCCCTGCCAGGACTGCCATTACCCTCCTGTCCCACCAGCCCTGCCACCTCTGGAGCTACCACACCAGCCAGGACTGGTGGTAGCGTATTTTGCTGCTGGAATGGGATGACCACCAATGGGTCGACATGTTTTGGATGACCTGGGGTGCCTTTGATGACCTTCTGCACCAGCTCTGGCCCCACCTGGACCTTCAGTTCATGGAGGTGTCCCTGCCCATCCCCGCTGACACCCACCTGCCCTGCAGCCCACACACCCCCTACTCTCTGCCCACCTCCAGAACCACACTCAGGACATACACATGCTTGCAATGACAATTTTTGTTCCCCTCACATCCCCACCCCATCCTTCCTCCTCTTGCCCCTCAACCAGAGCCCCTCTCTCCTCCCTCCCCCATACATAGAGCCCCTCCACCACTCTCCCTACCCACCACTCTCCCTACCCACCAACAATAAAAAGTCCTCCTCCCAAACTGAAAATTATGTACAAGATGCTGAGTCTCTGTCCAAGTTCTGGAATGGGGAGTGCCTGGGCACAGTGGCAGGCAGCCAGCACCCTGGCAGCAGACTGCTCCCCCATGGGTCTGGGGGCCACAGTGAATGCCAGGGGATCCTGTGGGGGCCCTCCTCCTGCAGGATCAGGGGCCAGGCATGGAGGGGGCTGGATGTAGGCACCACTGGCCAGGCCTGGCTGGCCAGTTGATGCTAGAGCAGTTCCACACAGCACTGTACCAGGCCTTCAGCTAGGCCCAGTATGCCCATTGTGCCCAGTCCCATGCCTCCTCTTGAGCTATTTCCTGGGTGATGTCTTCCTCCTGTCAGGCCAGCTTCTATGCCAATGAGTTTTCTATGACTGCCACCAGCTGCTGGAAAAGGAGGGTCCAGTCCCTGGTGCACTGCTGACACAGCCGACATATCTGGGAGGCTCCAGTGGTGGGTGGTGGTGACCCTGAGATGGCACTCTCTCAGGGTCCTGCGGCTTCTCTCCCATGTCCAGATGTTGGCTCTTCAGAGGCAAGAGGTAGAAGCCTTTTGTGAGTTTGCAACACTGAAGAGATAAGATACTTTGCATCAAGAGCCCTAAATTGCCCAGCCTCAGATTGGGGGGGGTTCCTCATCCTCTCCATCCATGGGTGCTGCCTCCTCTGGGAGGCTCCCAGGGACCAGCCCCATCCCCACACTGCTGCTGTGCTCCAAGTGTGCCCCTGCTACATGTGCCCTGGGTGGTATGTGATGAGCTGTCTGTATAGGCAGAGGGCTGGCCAAGCCACTACACCCTGCTGCTGCCAATCCTGCTGGTGCCCCAGGCACACCTGCACTTCTGGTTGGGGACCCTGAGCTACAATGTCATGAGGGAAAGCCTGGGCTCCCCTTCAACCTCCATTGCCACCTGGAGAGCTACCTGTCACAGTGTTACACGTGGGTGCAGCACCTGGGGAGGTGGGTGTGGCACAGTACTGAAGGCCCAAGTGCCCTTCCTCTGGTGAAATGTTACCAAAGTCATCAGGGCAGTGTATAGGTGAGGCCAGGCTGCTTCTGCTGGTAGCACTGTCAGGGGTGTAGCCTGTCCTCCAAGGTGCCAAAATGAGGTCAGCTGCCTCATGAAGGGTGTGGTCTTACAGGCATGACAGATCAATGACTGAAGTTAGTCACAGCCACCCACTGTGCCTGCAGGGTCTTGGCCTTCAACAGCACTGATGAGCCTTGTGTGGGGTGGGAGTGGCCTTGTGCATGCATCTTGGCTAAGATGGCCCCATAAATGTGGGCATTCCCACACCCATCCCACAGAAACTGCCTCTGGACATTGGCCCTGTCCCAGAGTGCCATAAGGTTGTGCACCTCCTTGGGGGTTCAGTAGAGGGCCCAGGCACTCAGGATAGATGTGGGCATGTGGGCAGAGCCAGGACTGGGTGAGGAAGATTTGTTCAACGTAGTTCCTATGCAAGCTCTTGGGGACCCTGCATGGCTGTCCCTGTGATGTTGGCTCTGGATGGCTGGCAGCAGCACCCAGTACAGGGGCACAGCCAGGGATGGGGAGCCACATGGCAGAGGTGCTTCACCACAATGCCCTGAAAATGAGAGAGAGCTGGGGGTGAGGAGCAGTGGGAAGCAGGTGCTGGCCCTGCTGCTATAGCGAGACGGGTCAGGAGCCCCGGGGGAAACCTCAGGGCTGGGCAAGGGATGCAGCAGGCTGCAGACCTTTGCAATGCTCACTTGTGGCCAAGGAGAAGCTCTAGCTAGGAGACAGGATGGGCAGAGGCTTCTTGGGTCTTGCCCAGTAGAGCAAATGGGGCCTGATAGACTGCTGCTGGCAGCACTGGCTCACTGTGCAGTGTGCCCCAAAGCACAAAATGGCTGGGGGCTTTTATAGCCTGCAGCTAGGGGCTGCCACAGAATAGCCCAGGCATGGAGGAGGAGAGGTGACCAGCCAGGAGCTCTGGGTCTGGGACCCAGCTGGCTCTCTAGTGGCTAGGCAGACGGAGGACTAAAGTCCCTGAGTTAATGTACATTAATTCATCTACACATATGTTAATCCGCATTAATTAATTCTGCTTAACTTTGATACTTGGTTTGGGCAGGTATCAAATTAGGCTCACATATCCTAAAATCACCATTTTTACGCTGTATTAAGGGTGTGCATGTGTAGACATGTGCCCCATATGTGGGTTAAATTGGGCTAATCCGCATTAAGTGACCACATGTAGACAGCCCCTCTTAGGCCTAGTAACAGGGGCAGGGGTTCCTTGTTACATTCTGATAGTATTCCTGCTTGAGATTTTAGCAGTCTCTCTTCATGTGTCTTCATTATTTCATCACCTCTTATCAAATGTACTTGCTGGATATTCTTCAAGAGAATCCCAAGTGCTCCACAGATTAATTTTGGTCTTTCTTTTCTTTCCTCTCGCTTATTTCATCTTCACTGATTTTATTAATATACAGTCAGTGTGCCTTTGCTATTTAGGTAGTTTATATTAGGTCATTTTGGTTTCCCATCTAAGGTAACTTTTATACAACTGTATTTAAAACTACTGAATTTACTACCTCCAGTTTTCTGAATCTCTCCTTATGAATGCTGTTTGCCGTCTCTGTGTGGGTGTCCACATTCTGCCATAATTATTAAAGCCAAATGTTCTGCGAGGCTTGGATAATATTTGTATTATAAGCCTAGGGGCTTATAATCAAAAAGGTCCACTTACATACTAGTTTGTCTGGATATTGCCATCAGGTTTTTATGGTTCGCTTGAAGTGAGTTTTAGCGGAACCGGCAAGATAGTCATGGGAGAAGGAAAAGACAGATAACGTTTGTAGGAAAAAAACATTCAAACAGCAAATTCTTTCTATAGCCCTTTCCAGATATGCCAAAATTGCTAGCATGAACTTTTTCTAAGGCAAATTTAATTTATGTTCAAGTCTAAGGCGTAGTTTTTAAGATCCCCTTTTTCCTGTTCCCATCGATCTTCCTCCCTCACGTTAACAACACTGCACTTTAGAATTGTATTGGTGTATATGGTTTTGTGTGTGCACATTTAGATACACACATACACACACCACCTTTGGAAGGTTGTATATTTGGGTGTATATTATATATTACACATTGATTCTCATTCAAAAAGTTTCTCTAGGACCCTTCCTAAAATTCCAAGATTTGGACTAGCATCAGGCACCAAAATATTTGACAAACCTATTGGACATATATTGCCTTCTTTTCCTCCAATATTAAGCCCAGGACCAGAGACAAAATTTAATTCTGATGGCTTCTGATACAACAAGGCTAAAACAATAGGCGGGTTAAAAAATCAGACTGAAAATGTCTGGCCAACCCTTAAAAGAAAATATGGGGGGAAAACCTAAAAAAGGACCCTCTCTCATACACCGTTATCTTTATGCACAGGGCCAGGCTAAGGACTTTTGGAAATGATGAAGGATGATTCTTGAGACACCCCTCTTCATACATCCCTCATTTTATACACACACATACACATTCATTTTTCCATCTCTTGGAGCTCTGTATAAGTGGGGCTCACAAGAGCATCCTGAAAGGATTTTTATTTTTTGAGGAGAGTATTAAAAATGGTAACAATAAAAGGAATCAGACAATAACACCATGTTCAGGTTAGTGGTCAGCTCAACTTTAATCAAAGAGGTGAAGATTTAAAAGGCCCCATATACTCCCAGTTCTAACCCCCCTAACTCCCTTAATTAATTACACGCCAGTTTAAAGTAGTTGTATGTATTCATGGGATAGACATGCATTTAAATACTTTGTCTATAATTGTGATTAATTAACATGTATTCATAGTACAATAATGAAAAAAAAAATCAGTGAAAATATAACTCTTAAAATGCTGAATACTCACGGCAGCAGGAGTGGACTCCAGCATTAACCCTTTCAAAGCTGATCTCAGCTTAGGAGAAGAAAGAAAAGATAACACCACAGACTAAAGGTTTGATCAGTTGCTGGATTTATAAGCAGCTAGGGGATAAATTATGAAGAAAAAACAAATACAAAGAAAATTTAAAGAGTGAGCTGAGCATTTTCTTCTGGCAATCACAATTTATTGGGAATTTGGGTTTTAAACACATTTTAAAGGTTTTTATCACTAGATTTAGTCCTCTCTCGTAAGGACAGAATAAGCTTCTACCTAAAGTTTGCTTTCCAAAACCAACATAGAAACAAGACTTTTTCTTGTAGCTCACATATGTATTTATCCTACAGTAAAATACTTACAAGAGTATTTTCCTGTACTCAGTACTTACCTCTGTGAAGAGGTATGGGGGAGAGGTGCATAAATGTATGTCAACCAAGTACTAATGGATCTAATTAACACTTAGCCCCTCCATCTACTTTCTTTAACCTTTTTCTTCCTCCCCACCCACTTGTTTTCTCTTAGCTTTCCTTCTTCTTTTTTTTCTTATTCATAACTTCTCTTCTACCTTGTTGTTCACATGGAACATGCATTGCATTTTAGTGGCTTTTGACTGAACAGTAACACAGATGCTTGGGACACATCAGCTTGACCTACACTTACATTTGCCTCTGCCAGCAAGCTGCTAGAGAACATGTACATCTGTGCACTTCTGGAGGCTCTCTGTGGCTCCACTCAGCAGCTGTGCTGCCAGGGCAAGCAATGCACCCTGAAAAGGACTGCAGCAGCCAACAGGAAGCACTGGAGTGTGTACCTGTGTCATCAGCTGGGTAGCAGCAGCAGTGTAACATAAGAACATTAGAATTGCCATTTACTGCATCAGACCATTAGTCCATCTTGCCTAGTACACTGTGTCACACAGTGGCAGAGAAAGATGCTGAAAGGGAGGTTAAACTGGGTATGACCAGGGCTTTTTCCACTGTTCCTTTCTCACTTGTAGCTGCCAGCACTTAGTACTTACATACCTTAAGTAGTTTGCCTTGCTGTAGTCAAGAGTACATTCCTGCTTCTATCCTTCCATATCCTTCCACCCCTCTTTTTAGTCTCCCCTACAGCCTCTCTACCCTGTTACCTATATTTCTAACTCAGAAGTGTTTTTAGATATTGCCCTGTGCACCTCCCACTGTGATCTAAGCAGTGTAAGTTTTTCCACCTCTTCATATTTGGAGAGGAGACACTAATAAAACTTATGATGCGCTACCCACACCTTCTCTAGGTCTATCTGGTCACTGCCTTTTTTACCACACAGGTTCTGGACATAAAGAGAGGACACCATCGGACATTGCCTAGAAGGATACAGAGGTAAATAAATCCACTCTTCCTTTGATAGAGGCAAGTTCTTCACAGGGAGAGTTACCATTAGATTTAGATCAAATTGAAATAATCCAAGCTTTAATTACAAGCACATAAAGGTCACCAGAAGAGTGCTTTGGCTCTTGAAAAAAAGAGCATTTTAACTCCCAACAATCAATTTTCAATTATGGGAATGAGGAGTCTACAAATATGGGGCTAAATCTGTCTCTGGGATAAACACTCCATTGAATTCAAACTTTACTACTCAAATGCAGAGAGGCTTCTGTTAGAGCAGATGCAGAAGAAAGAATGATGAATGAAAGGAGGAGAGAGACAAAAGAGAAGAAAAATGAATTTAATTAAGGTAATTGATTTAAAAATATGGGATAACTTTATAGTGCATGTATTCACCTTTTGTTCCATGACTACAGCAGAGGCAGGATGAGCACTCCTTGTTAATGGTGTTTGCTTGGCTTGTGCCCAGGTTGCTACTCTGTCAGAACATTCCATCAGTACATTTCCTTTCTTCATTACTATGAAAGTTGCAGGAAAAAAAGATTATTTTTATGTTCCTTTCCTTTAATCTCCTATTTTTGGAAATTTGGCAGGATCCAAATCAGAACAGACCTCTTTTCTTTTTTCTCTCAAGTTATAAGTTTAATCAAATAATGAAGTGGAAGACAACAACAGAAACAGTTAGGGTGACATGGTCTCTGGTCTTTTACATTCGTTGTTAGGTACACAGGAGAAATTAAATTCCAATGCATGTTGAAGGGCTTACCTTTGCCAATTTGTCAAAAATAGTTTCAAATAACACATTGCCATCAACATCTAGCATTTTATAGCAGAGTTATGTTCAACTCCTAGGAGTGCTACATGTTTCCTGATACTATTTCTTTTAGACAGGGTCCTAGATGTTCATATTGCAATAAGCAGCCTAACAAGGTGTCTGTTGTTGGTGATGTGAACCAGTTCCTTGTTTCTCTTTACAGCACATTCTTCAGTGCACAGCTTTTGCTGCTTCTGTTTTTATTTTCCATTGTTTAATTTTGGTGACAATGGTGGGGTCCTTCAATCTGAGTTTATCTAAATGAGTCTGAGTTTATTCCAAAGAGTCCAAATGATTTCCAATCTTTATTTGCAATGGGAAGGGATGCTTATTTATCTTCATCTTTCCCGTCATGGTTAGGATTGTGACTGCTTTCTTTCTTTTTCTCTCTCTCTCTCTTCTGGAAGGTCAATCAATCAATCAATGGCTTCATCTTTAGCTGATTCTGATGCTATTACAAAAATCTGCCAGCAGGTGGTGCTCAGGGACCAACTACCCATTAGGCTTTGTAATACAGCTGCAGTGTAACACTTGTGCGTTGTTACTGAACTCCACCATCCAGTGGCAAAACACATTTACTTCTGAAATCACATCCCCTACACCATAAAATATGTCATTTAAAGCAGCACTGGTAATGTACATATGTAGATAATGTAACCAACATTAACACTATTATGATCCATTGGGGAAAACCATCCGAATTTTAATTTGTGCATGTGAATGTTTTTAAAAAAAAGCATTAGATGGTTCTTATGAGTTGTTAGTAGAATGTTAGATGTGTGCAGTAAATATAAGTCTTCTGAGCCAATCAAAATCCATGTAAAGTTGTATGGTCAGAATGAGTTATTCTGATGACTGATGGCAGGCAGCTTATGAAAAATGAAATTGCAATCTTGGACCAGATCCTAATACAAAAAGCATGTCTCTTAGGAGGTCCATTTGTTGGATCAAATGGAAACCCATTCTTAGAACTCGTCTTAATCACAACCCTTGCCTGAGGTCTCAGAAAAGAAGATGAAGGAGAAAGAGCCTGGGAATTAAAATACTTTTTCATCCCTAGACTCTGTTTAGCCACCTGTATAGAAACTAAAGGGAAGAACTGAGACTGAGATATTGAAGAGTGTGGAGGAAGGACCATAATACTATTCTGTGTACATAGCCTACAATGCTACATGCAATTGAGTTGAAACGTTTTGGTAAGAGTTCTTTTAATTAATAAATCTGGTGTAGTTTTATAAGCAGGGAATCCTTCCATATTGTTACCCATCAGGCACCGCACAAAAAACTCTAAAGCTGCGCCGAATGAAGAAACTTGTCCTTTCATATAAACAAAAGCCTGCACTACTGTAGTATAGCTCCACTGAATTGAACGAACTAACTGAAGTCCACAATGCCACAACAATAAGTTGACTATTTATACCAAAAGCTGCATTAAAGGGTTTATCAGCCCAGTCAATCTGACAAATTTTCTGATAATTTATATCCATACAAAATATAAATGTTAGATATCCAATGATTTTGTTATCAAAAAAGCAAGATGGCCACTGTTTTTGTGGTATTCACAATACACATCATGTACACACACATACTTTACACATACCAACAATATAATACATTTCTTGTGCTCTCTCTGCTGATTCACAGCCAAAACTAATTTAATTTAAACATGTTTTTTTAAACACCATTGTATCTGAAAGAAGGACAAAGATTAACATGAGTAGAAAACCAGCAGCCAATACTTTATGATCCTTTTGGGGGGAAAAATGTTTGTCAAATGCCCAAAGACATTGAGGACAATTTTTCAACCTGACTAGTAATATCAAGTCCCACACATACACACACATTTTATTTATATGGGGAAGTACTTGCTGCTGACCCCTGGAGAGCTTGCTCATAACATGATGCTAGTTACTCTTTTTTCCTAGCTGTTTCTCCAGGTATTCAGATTCTTCACTGCAAATAAGATCCTGCAAAACAACCAGAACGAAAAGCTGCCAGTTAATCTGCCTACACCAGGAACTATATTCTATAAAAATAGGACCAAAATCAGGACTTCGGGTTGACATCTACCAATGGAAAAAAGCAGGCAGGAGTTGATGGAGGGAAAGTAATGATAAGACAGCAGAGTAGTAAAGAACCACTCACCAAACAGGGACACAAAGCCCGAGGCAGAAGAGGACCTTATGCCTGACCATCATGTTTATACAGGGAATGAATGGAGGGAAGAGGAAAAACATCAGGCATAGGGGGGAAGAATTAAATTAATGGGCAAATGAAGAAAGTGTGTATAAGGTTGTATTTTTTAAAAAAGGACATATACTCTACATATTAAAAAACAGTTAAAACATATAGTAGTGCTTCCCCAGGATGTTCCATGTGAGCACTGCCTTGGTCAATAGAGGGGTATACACAACAGTGCTCAGTGCTATCAAAAGGTTATGTATTTATTATGAGATGATCCACCTTGTGGGGAAGCCTGAGAACCAAAGACTTGAACTAGCCATTGTCCTTTATAATGTTAGCCTAATTTTTGTTTACCTCTATATTCTTGAAGTCCTTATTCATTCCCTACCCCTCCCTTCCAAAACTGTAAAATAGATATCACACTTTGAAATAGACATCATTCTTTTACATCTTGGTTCTCTGCCCAGGATATCAGTGAAGGTTTGAGAAAGATGAAACTGTCTAACGGGACTTTTCTTGAGCACAAAGTTTCTTCTCTGAAGGATTTGCTTAAGTTACATTAGATACCAGTAATTTTGGTGTATGACTTACTGGCTTTACCTTTCCCTTTAGAAGTGAAATTTAACAGTTCTCTTATGGTTGTAAATAGAGAGAAAGGTAAATGATTATAAACAGATTCATAATCACAGAGAAACTGAAACACAGAAAATGAAAAAGAAAAAAGGGCCTAGGCTTGATCAAAGAGTACACTGAGGCATCAAAGAACAAACTGATTTGTGTTACTGACCTAGCCAAGAATTAGGTGAGCAATGACATAATGTTCTCATTCATTTTCAGAACCTCTTAAATTTGTATCTGGGAATCGCATCTCTTCTGTGGAAAATGTTCATCTGCTGATACTCGGATATTCTTAGAAGAATGCTAAACCCAGAGTGCTAATAGGACTGACATCACAAACTTTTGCCCATTACTGAAACAACTGGTTTGAAATATATGCCAATAACTCTTTGGTGGACAGTCAAGGTATGTAAGTACGGACTTCTCCCTTTATAAAGTTATGTTTTACAGAAATTCTACTATCTCTTGTAAGTTACTAAAATACAGAGTTTATTCCTATGACAACCACTTACTAACATACTGGCTTTTTGCATAATTTTATTTTCTATTTAGTTTACTCAAATTAATTTCTTACTTCACTTTGGACAGGTATTGACAGCCTGTGAATTACATGCACAAAAAATGCCCAACTCTCTATTACTTTAAATACTGTACAATTATGAGTATATAGATAAATGTAACATTTGGATCACTCTAAGTGATTCTAATGCCTTCCAAAAAGCAAGGTAACAGATGTATGCAGTAAATGAAACACTCCAGAAAGGGATGATTTGTCTAAAAAATGACCTCAGGAAAAAAAAACAGAAATAATTCTGAAGCACTCCACTATGAAGCACTTCACATTACCATTTGCAACCTTCATCAGAGCACAATAGGTAGTTGGTCAGCCTGCCAGTAGGTCACAGTGTTCATTTCCACCCCCCTCTTTGTGCTCTGAGAAGCCACCTTTTCAAATAACGCCAAACTCCATTTCTTCAGGGACACAGGACCTGTCTGGCATGTGACCTCATCTATTTACAATTAGGGTGAAAGCATTCCGTATCTTCACTTTGCTGGATAGCCAACCCAAGGAATCAATATCACTTTTTCTTGCCTATAATGGAATAGTATTGAGGTCTCTTCAGTGTGTGAACAGTGGCCTGTGCTCAGAATGTCAGCACCACCATCTTCTGCTGCATCTCCCTCTCCAGACTAGAGGTATACAGAGGTAACAAATCATTTTGCCATTTGGAGTGACATGAAAATCCAGTACTCACTTAGGACAAGCCACCGCTATCAGTCCATCTACCAGAAACTTTCTCTCTGCTCAGGGGCAAGACTGCAGCTGACACTAGTGTACGTCAAGGCTTGAGTACTGAAGCTGCAACACAACTCATTTCAATGCTTAGAAAAGGACATGTGCTTACGAGGAGCCATCACAGATTCTGGCGGGGGGGGGGGGGG